TATTTAATAATGTAAAAAAATAACTGTGGGTAAGACTGGGCAATAATTAAATAATATTGCAGCAAATGAGCAATATAAACAGAAAATAATAATATTTATTATGATAAATACATGATCAATAACAATGAAACGTTTTTCCAATGGAATGTTTATAATTTCCCTGAACTCCAGAACTGCACAGCATTCTGGGGGATTTAGCAAATGAATGGCTTTAGCCACTCGATCTTTCTAGCTAAACAAGGCTGGCGGCATCATTTAACGCACTCTTTGGTAAAGTGGCAACAACCTGTTGAGTAATATACACAGTAGCAGTTCCATAAATAAAAAAGAACAACAAGAAACTGAGTGCAACAGCTCAAGAGGAAATGGTGGATAAAAGAGGAAAAGTTACATCGCCAGTTCGGCTGAATTAATCACCTTTTTTTTTCTCTTGCTCTTTATTTCAAACAGGTAAAACAAAAAAATAATTATCTATTAACTGATAGGAAATGCTTATATCGTGATACAGTTTTTTTGGCCATATCTGTGAGTAAAACCAAATCTCTATTTCTGTTTACTTCAATAGAGAAAAAAAATTGACATTTCCTGACTTTGTCTTTTCACTTTGATGTTGCCAGTTGTTAAATGGTAGTAGGGGAAATAAAAACATTAGCATCTGATTTGTATTGAAATACATATTTGTTTAAATATGAATTTATTTAATTTTGCCTAATTTCCCTCTGGGATCAATAAAGTATTTTTGAATTGAATTGAATTGAAATAGCAACAACACTTTGTGTCCTAACAGTTCCTTGTTTTTTTTTTTTTTTTTAAGGTCTCTGTCATCCACCATTCAGAAATGCGGATAGTCTATTATCTGGCAACCCTGAGCTCAGCTGCTGGGCTCTGCTCGCTTTCTGACTCTGCTGGCTGTGTGAGAGTGGGTGATGGACTGAGTGAGGGCGCTCTTTAGACCAGCGCTCTCGTTAGCATTGCTAAACCCACAAGCTAGGCTGAAATAACCAGACGAATTTTTTTTAGGGTCGTTAAATCGACAAGAAAATATAGTACCGTTATTATCAGTCTTTCACATCCCACTCTAAACACACTAACACGGCATTGATGGTAATGTATGCAAGGAAACAACCGAGACTCGGCGATGGGTAAATATCTACATAACCTTACTTCTGATTTTCCTTTTCCTCGTAGCTACGCTTTGACAATCCGCCATTTTTTTTTTTTTTTACCGAAACCAAAATAAGTGACTGGAAACTTGAACGTTCAGCTGCCGATGAACTAGTATGATCATTTCTCGACAATGACGTTCTCAGCTTGACTAACATCTGTTTTCTTTTTTCTCTCTTTTGCAGGTGCGACCGAAGAGATTCTCAGCCCTATCAGGTACTTGTTAGCAAAAAAAATCCCATATAGCCTGTTAGCTGCAAATAAGATTAAAGCTGACACTCCAGCTCGGGCTTCTGGAGAGCACGGGCCTCAGTCAGTGCGGAAAATAACACGAAAAAGTAGTCCGAGCGACGCTTCAAAACCTCGTTTAATCATAGTAAATACATGCAAGCTAAAACTCGCAGTGTCAACGTAGTGTTAACTCGCTTGGTTCCGTCGAATGAAGTGTTTCGCAAAGGTAGAGGAGTGTTTTTTTTTTAAACTGCAGATCGAAGCTAACGCTAGCTTGCTAGCTTGCTTGCTAGCTTAGCTATTTTCAGTTAGGGCCCAAGCGCAATCGGTCATTTTAGGCATACAGTTAGCTAAACTCTTTTAGAAGAAACACTTATAGCATATGTTAAAATCTAATATAATTACGGTGAAGTAATTTCACTTGGGTTGAAGCAAAGAATAATCACCCTATCGTGTTTGTTTAATGTTGTTTACCTGGGTCTCATTCTAAGTTTTCGTAATTACATGGGTATAGGGTGAAAAAGTGAACAGACATTTGTAGCTAAGAGCTATTTAATTGCTTTTTCAGGGAAAAGGTAATAGCACAAATCGAATTTTGTTCAAAAATCACTTTATTATGCATTTAGTCATATGTGTCCTTATATAATATATATGCAATTGGAATTGTAAAAGGACTAGCACCAGAAGATCCTTATTAAATTGCCCTAAATCCAAAATAGTTCAACTTTGCAGCTGAAATCATAATGAGCAAGTTGTTAGTGTTGTAATAAATGCAGTCAGGTAAACATGAGGGGGTCAGACACTTCTGAAAATAGTTTGTTCWTTGAAGTTACATCTCAGTGAAAGGACTGTTGTGTATTTTAATAGACCTGTTTAAAATAGTTTTGATAGAATACGGAAAGCTTAGGTGTATTAACATGGGTTCCATTTCTCTAGCTGCTTGATTTTCTGCAGAACAGAACTTCCTTTCAGTTCTACATTTGTGCTGTTGCTGCTCCTTCAAACCAAACATCTGCTGTGAAATAGTCTAATTTAATAGCACACGGTGATCACAGACTTAATTAGATTTTCTTAAACGAGGTTCGACGGAGTTATCAAAATTTTTTACCCACAGCATACAGCAGTCAAACTGTTGGGTCTGTGATTCATTAGCAATAATTGGCCATTACAAAAATGAGTTGCTAAATAGCACCTGAGACTGAGCAACCAGTCATGTAATGTAAAAATCAGGCAGAGGAACAATCAGGATAGTGTTCACTTGAACTATTATACAATGTGGTATTTTAATACTGCCTTAATTTAATGTTTAGTAGATTCTTCATATTTCACATGGAGCATTATTGATGACGAGCCAAACGCAGTCTCCAGTATTCTTAACCATAAACTTGCTGCAAAAAGCGACCACACTATGAAAACACCACTAATTCTTTAATCGTCAGTCAGGAGGTGGGTCATCTTTGCATTGAATTGGAAAGGTTTTTAGGCACATTAAAAACTAGTGTGTTCCCCATAACATGGGATGTGTGTGGTTTATCACTACAATGGCAGCCTGGCAGGGTTCTGGGTGGAGCATGCAGCCTTGCTTTGGGCTTCAGGTACATCAGTGTGGCTTTGTCATCAGAATTTAAAGGACTGGCCTCATATCTGAGGAATGATCATGATAAGGTCATATAAACAGTCGAGTGATGATGGTGAGACTCATAGATGCAGTCTGAGAAAATYATGCTTGGATTTTAGCAGAGCATGGTGGGGATACAAGAAAACCAGTTTTTGAATTGGCTAGATTGTAGCACAGCGTTATGATCGCCTTCACACGGAAGGTTTTCCAAAATTTTTAAGATCCAACCATGTTCAGATTGGTTGTGGGGAGAGTGGTGTGGTCACATCTAGTATGAAGGAGTCTTGAAGATTTATTAAATAAATGAATACATGAACTGCAGTAAAGTCTTTAAGGTTAGAGTTGGTTTAAAACAATCTGTAGCAGGACTGGATAACCAACCATTATCTAAACTACCCAGGTAAAAGTAGCTGTGACTGAAACCCCTGTTCAAAAAAACAGAACTCATATTATGAGATCCTTGGCTACTTTCACACTGCAGGCAAATCCGACCCAAATCCGATTTTTTTGACCCATCTGACTCATATCCGATTTTTTTTATGACAGTCTGAACGAGACAAATCTGATTTTTTCAAATCCGACCCAGGCCGTTTCAGTATGTGGTTTTAAATCAGATACGTATCTGATGTTTTCAAAGTGACTGCAGTGTGAACACTCATGTCACATTCATCTGACTTTTTCATCAGGAGGAGGGGGTGAAGGATCAATAAGACACTAACCTCAAGTCACGCTGTTTAAATCTGCAGCTCCGTGTGTTTACAGCTCCAAAACACAAGTCCAGTTGCTTCATCTTTTACTTTTCATTTTCCATGTAGATAGTATGATAATAATGGTCCAGCCTGGGTCGCCGAGGGTATCGATCCTAAAGTTAGCTACTCGGTCGATACTTTTTTCCAGCTCGTAGTTTCGTTAAAAAAAAAAAGCTTCACTGGAGCATCCCGGTCAGAGGCAGGTTCAGATATAAACACTGAACTAAAGAAGCAGGTCAGATAATTATTTAATCGGCTCTGATTTAACAACAACAACTTCCGATTCGATGCGCAAAATGTAGCATCCATGCTAGCTCTGTAAACAAACAAGCCGGCTGATGAGACGTCACGTCTTTTACTGCGCATGCGTGTCACATCAGTGCTGTGTAGCGTTCACACAGGAGTCTGATGCAGGTCGCATTTAAAATGTAATGTGAACGTTCACACAAAAAGATCTGATTTTTTCAAAAAATCGGACCTGAGCATTAAGACCTGCMGTGTGAACGTAGCCCTTCACWGGCCTCTTTGTACTGCAAATTGGTTGCAACATTGTAATATGATCCTTTTTTACATTCTTGCTGTGTAAGAACAAAGCTGTAACGGGTGAATTTCATTAAGCCGTTGGAGATGTTTGATTTGTGTGCGCAGGCTCTCAAATACTCATCCAAGAGCCATCCAGGAGGGGACCATCGACACGAAAAGACACGAGACACCACAGATGTCACTCCTCCCTGCAAAATGCTCAGGAGGTCCGACAGCCCTGAGAACAAACACATCGACAGCACGGGGCACAGCAGAGCAAAAGCCATTCACACACACCGAGTCAGAGACAGGGATGGAGGTAAGGTGGTGGTTACGGCAGACAAATAGATTGAAATGGTGCTCTCAAGCAGAACAWTTACTGTTCTGTTTCGCCAAGTTGTAGTACTGACTCACAGAGTATTGTATTATCTGAACAGTTTTGTTGTTGTCACAAAAGTAGACATTTTGTGACAGTTTAGGAATAAAAAAGACCCCAAGCTTCCCTGGGATTCAGATGTTAAAATGTCTTTTTTGTTTTAGCTTTTTTAGTACCGTTCTGTTATTCATAACCTGGACTTAACTTCAGATGATTTTTGAGATGCTTTACATTTAGGATTTTTAGTGAAAGGAAATAAAGAATTAGATGTGACAATTTAAGCTGTGGTAARGTCGTCTCAGTTTTCTTGTATTAATAAGGAAGACTTTTTTTGTTAAAATAAGTTAGCAGATAGAGCCACCCGTGTTCTTTGTGGTGAATATGGTGCTTTGCTGCAGTATGGTCATAACATGATGACGTGGGAGAGGGACAATGTGACCAATTACTTGTTTTCAAATGCAATATATATTTAGATAATTAGCTATCACAACCAAATCAATTTTTCTATGAAAACATAAGCCCATAAGGGGTTACACCAAATAACATTTCAGTACAGGTTTAAATAAGTCTTTATAATTTGTCATCCTGTCCCCATGTAGGATTAACAAGTTTGTTACCATGTTTGAGTCTTAAGGCACACTCTTGCATGTCATTTTCCCCTAAACCAAAACATGTATTTACATTAAGGCCAACAGCAACACTGTAGTGCACTCTTGCTACCTAAAGTGGAGTTAAAAAGCTAATGAGTCAGTCTGTTCCCTTCTCTTGTTTTTGAGGTAGCACCCAGTTTAAATTTAGTTTTGAGCAAACAGTAAATCAAGGAGAAAAAGTTGGTTTAGAACAATATTTATACTTGTTTAAAATGTGTAGGAGAAAACATCCACTTTTGTTTGAAACAAATGCAATTCTGCTTTTAACAATATTTTAGTTTATCACTAGATGTTTTATTGAAAAGGGTGAAATAAAAATGTGAACTTGGACACACACTGTGGTTACCTCTGAAATGTAATACAATTCAGTTCAAAGACAAAGTTTAATACCCCAGTCTGCTGTTTATCAAAAACCCACAAACTTTTAAATCTTTAGTCTTCCATTATTTTGTGAGGCAACAGTTTTAGTCACTCCTTTCCACAGTTTGCTTGTCTCTGATGCCACTGCTAGAGGATTGTTTCAGTCTAAAGTTTCTGGTTGCCTCTGCTGGCTGCAGTGTGGCTGCTCACCTGGGGCCTCATGTATCAACGGTGCGTACGCACAAAAAGGTTGCGTACCCCATTTTCTACGCAAAACTCCAGATGTATCAAAATTGAAATGAACGTGGAAATGTGCGCAGCCCCACACCAACTCCAGGGCTGGTGTACGCACGTTTCTGTGGTTCTTGTTCCGTTGGCGACACTTAGAGGTGATTCTGAGAAACTGTTCATGATGTGAAAATGATTATTGTTCACACCAGACACACATGATTAACAATTATTACATCCACATGATTAACAATTATTACATCCACATGATTAACAATTATTACATCCACATGGATGCAGTTAGATAAAGGATGCACAAAATTGTGCAAAAAATACATTTACCAGGAACGGATTCAGCCTTACTGGAGAATCTAATAAATAGTGTAACATGCGCTCTGGAGCGCAACACAGCGAGGAGCCGGTGCACCGCGCATTAATGTGCAGAAGCAGCGATCAAACTGGGGTTCCACAGGAGCTTTCCAGGGGGAGCTGGCAGACTGATCGGGACTGTGCCAGTCCAGTCCACCCAAAGCTGAGTCATGACCAACGGAATCGTCTCATCCATATGATTCTAAAGGCTGAGTTATGGTCGCTCTCTGGAGTGTGCGCACCCTCGCCGGCTGTTGTGTTTCATACTTGGCGTTTAAGTTGTTGTAGATTTCTCCAAAATGACACGTGGATTTACAACTTGTGAAAATGCTGTAAGTAGGAGAGCAAAAGCTTGACAAACAGACTGCACATAAAGGCTGCGGCACGCATGGCCTTTGGGGGGACCTTCAACATTACGTTATGTTATGAAAACTCTCCACTGAGGCGCAGAGACTCGTTTCTTCATATCAGCTATGAAATAAACAAAGATCTATGTTCTACCAAACATTTAAGTTCCTCTGTGTTTACAGTAATTATGGTAATAAACTCATGCGCTAAGTTAATATTTAAGACTCAGAATGGATGTATGAGCCTGTTGCGCAACACAGCAGTGTGCACACACACACACCGACACACAATCACTCCTTCTTTGCGTGATAAACATATTTTATTCCTATTCTTACTTAGGATTTTTTTTCTCACTCACATTATATTAAACTCATTATTTTCCTGAATCTAGAAATCATTTCTGATCGCGCAGAGATCAAACAAACGTGTCCTTCACACATGCAGGAAGTAATTTGCATCTGTTTAACATATGTTAATGAAGGCGTGTCAGGGGAAGTGTCTTACCTGCGCTCAGTTCCACGCTAATTGTGATGTACAAAAGAAATGTGCGTGGATTTAGGCGTACGCACGGTTTGATACATCTGGATTTTTTTGTGCGTACGCCATTTTCTGGATTTGACTGTACGTCACGTTTCAGTAAGAAATCACCGCAAGTCTTTGTACATGAGGTCCCTGGTTCTTACCATCTGTTGAAAAGGTTCGTTGTGTTGCCATTCAACGTGCGAACCTTGTCAGTTCAAACTGTAACTATAATTACTGTTTGTATCTTCGCATTTGGGGATAAAATAGTAACAAAGATGAGCTTCATTTCGTTTTTTCAGTTTTCTGTTTTAGTTTAAATAAGAGAAAAGGTCAGCACTGACTATGTATGATTGGTTGATCGTCGTTTCTGTAGGGTGGGCATTAAGTGCTCTGATTTGGCTGAGGCAAAAAACTTGATGCTTCACTACAAAGCATAAAACAAGAATAGATAGATTGTACCCTACARAATATCTTACAGTCTCTSTGCTTTGGCAGTTTGTCAACACATAAAATCATCCCAACTATCATCCTAACTACCAGCTACAGAAGCTCTTTAGTGAGCTTGTGCTCACAGCTCAGCCAGATGAAAAACTGCCTGAATGCTAGCAGACATTAAATGGAATGAACTCAGGACAAGAAACCATTTTAAAATAACATTTTTATACAGGGTTCATGCCGGGTCTTAAAAAGTCTAAAATTTGAAAATCAAAATTTTAGGCCTAAAAAAGTCTTTAAAACACCCAGATTTTCATCCAAGGTCTTAAATTTAATTCTGTCAAGTCTTAATTTGTTCTACTTTTGATCATTCCTGAGAACCATTGGCTGCATAAATAAAGTTAAGAGTCGTAATCAGAGGTGACCCGATCTGTCTTCATGAAGTTCTAAGTTTGCTACTGATCATGATTAAACTCCACTATGGCCCAATCTTAAGCACTACAGGCATGGAAAAAGAGCTATGTCCAGCTATGAAAGTCATCTGTCCTCTGATGAGGGAGGCAGGGGTGATTTAAAAAAAATTAAAAGACCAAAAAATATATATACGGTATATAGTTTCAATTATACTGCACAGGGATGTCCCGATACCACTTTTTCACTTCCGATACAATACCGATATTACAACTTTGAGAAATGTCCGATAC